TACACAATGTAAGTATAGAATTGAAAAGAATTGTTCACTTGTACTGACATTATCTGCATTTATGAATATCCTATTGCAGCAAAACGCAACTTTGACTTTCTGTCAACAATGTCGGTTCGCATTTCCTCGAATCAAAACAAAACGTAGCCTATAAGATTTTAAAAAATATCAATGTGCGATTTGATATAAATTGAAATAGATGAAGAGTTTAATGTTAAATATTTTGAAGTTAATGTGGACGAATACGGAATTTTCATTTTAACTTTAGCAGCGACGACATTGAAAGAAATGCGTACAATATCATGAGGGGTGCTTGTACATCTAATGCAAATGTCGATGTATCCCCGCGGCCACATACTATCTCGTTTGAAATAATGACATGAAAGAAACTACAATTATTTCATTTATATCATAGGAGAGTTGAACATACACCATTTTTTAATGAATAAAATTAAAGAAATGAAATTAAAAATCAACATATTCAAGTTCAACAAAACTTGAATTCGTATCCAGGTTTCGTGTGATATGGAATGCATAACGCATACGTATATGGAATTAACACTAAAATCTTTCAGTAATTTTTTCCTGATACATATAAAAAGAGTAGTCAATATTTATTCTGCATTCATGAATTTAAAAACTAATGCATACCTCCGGGATTCTTGACGAAATACCAGTATATTTGCACTGTAAACGACGTTTCGTCAAACGCTAATGGTCTGCGACGCAAAAAAGGAAGGGGTGGGGGTGATAGGGGTATTAAAAAGTTGCCTAAAAATCTACATTTAAATAGAGAACTTTTAAATTTGTAAGTTAATATATTTTTAAAGCAAAAGCAATATTCCAATTTAATTTTTTAATGTGTATTTGTAGATTTATATAACAAAGTGATCGACCTCCGTCTGAAAGACGCGCGGGAACGTGATTTATTGAGAAAGGGGGAGGGGGTAATTTTCCGCTATTAAATCAAAACTGGTCGTACAAAAATTATACAAAAAATTATGAAGATTGTTTTTACTACCAGCTACCTAAAGAAAGTTTTTTACAAAAATTAAACGACAGGTTTTTTCGCAAAAAAATTTTGAATTTGAAAAATACGCAATTTTCAAGGCTTAGATAATTCATAGTTTGAGGTCTTTAAAAATTGTTTTGATGATATGTATATAAAAAAGGTGACTATGTTTTTGTGTTAAATGGTTAAAGGAATAAGCCAATTAAATTTTACATTTATATCTAACCTGGTTTTTGAAAATCAAGGTTTAAGTAGTTCATTGATTAAAAATTTTCTCTCCTTGTAAACAACTAAAGGGGGGTAACTTTCGGAAGTTCCTGTCCAAAAACCACTCGAACGATTTTGTCCAATATATGCATACTTGCTGTAGATATAGTCATGTACTAAATATACAAAAATAAACAAAATTAAACGACAGGAATTTTTTTGGGTAGGTGTGTTGTACATCCTTAAAAATTGTACATGATGTGTTACACATCTTACATATGTAATCATTTCATTTCAGGGCATTCAGCATATATTGTGGTTTTGTCTATAAATTTGTTTGTTCATGTAATCAATAATTTGAAAATACTCAAATTAGGTAATGCATGAGAGAATAGGCAAGAAAATCAGGTTTAAGAAATGGTTTTTACTATTTATAAGGGGTTAATGTATATATTGAATCTATAAGTACATTTAGTCTATACATTTAAGGTATTTGTATATGAAATAAACCTGCATTTGAGCATTTTTTAAGACAATTGTAAACATTACTTTAACCAGTTTAAAAATGATTAGATTCACTGTCAGCATTTCATTTCTTGTAAAATAAATGAGAAAACCAATTTTATTTGAGTCAGTTTTTTTTTATGTAAATAAAAAGCATTGGAAGTTGGGAATATTTCACAAAGTTGATTGAGCATAATTCTCACTAGGACAGTAGGAGTATTATGATTTAAGCATTAAAGAAACCATTTCATATTTCAATATACAAACCATGTTTAGTCATGCAGTATATAGTTTACACTTGCCAAAAAGTAAATGGTATCTCTATTCAGGGTCAATCCAAAAGTCAAAAAGGAATGAAAAAATATTTCTCTTTATGTATCAAACATGTAGGTATTATTGCAATAAATTCACTGTATTCATTTTTTGTCCTCTTTCTATGTATGAATAGCTCTGATTTAGGCAATCAAAATACAAAAAGCAAATGAGTTATGTCAAATGATGAAGGTATACACCATAAATTAACATGGACAGAGAATTCTGAGTTTCCCTCAAATATGGCCGCCAAGTGATGTGAAATAAAAACAAAATGTGGATTCATCTATTAGGATTGAGACTTGTACATATTATGAATGATGGGTACTATGACATTAAGAATGACATGAAAGAAATAAGTTTGATTCAATTATATAAACAGTTCTTAATCCATACAGTCAAAATGGAGGGCATATATTTTTCTTTATAGGCATAAAGTAACAAACACTCACCTAATCCATCAAAATTTTACTTTTTGATAAAAGGAACCCTACTTGCTTTTTAAGTTGACATTCATATTTTTGTGTTTGACAGGTAGAGCAATCGTTTCTAACTGGTATAGTGAGAACTTTATTTTAGAATCATCAGATTGTTCTGATATTTTGGTTAAGATATCTGCATGACATCAATTAATTTGTTCATACAAAGGGATAAAAGCTTTTCCAGGTTTCCTCTTTACTCAGATTAGATTGTGTCTTGCTAACATATCCAACATATAAGATATTCATCAAAGTCAAACATAGGTAAATAAATGACTTTATTAAATTTTTAGTCAAAAGGTCAAAGAGATGTGGACATCTACTAAATTTAATTGTTTAGTTAATATTCATCAAACTTCATGGATAGGTTAATTAAACAAACTTCATATATTCTGATTTTCAGGTCAGAGAAGCACACTTTTTGCTATACCATTGTTGTCCATGAATATCTCTATTGACTTTTCAGGTTAAAGGTCAATGTATTTCTGCTACAGTAAAACTTCATTATAAGGATCTCATAGTGATATTCTTTATTTGTAAGGAATGAGATATAAAATCACCCACTCTTTCTATAATACGTCACTGAATGTGCTCCTTCATTTTAGAGAATTTTACAAGCAAATCATATACTGACTTTCAATCCTTCAAAACACAATATATATTGAATCTTGATATTCAGACTTTCAGGCTTTCAGCCTTTTAGGATTTCAATCTTAAAAACTTTAAGATTTTCAATCTTTAAAAACTATCAATCTTGAGGACTGAGTATTTAAATATTCATTTTGTCTGTCTTGTCTTTTATGTCATTATGATTAATCCTTAGTAATTCAAACTTTTCATGTTTGTAAAACTAGATTGTGAAAGTACAATGTTTGTGTAATCTTCTTAATGTTTATCTATAAATACTGATTTTAACACAGTCAAATATAATTTTCTGATGATCAAAATTTCCAACTGAATTCAAAAACAAACTGCCTGACCTATACATATTTAGAATTTCAATAACATACATTCTTGAATATCCATAAATATCAAAATATAATGATTCAGCATTAGCTATCATCTAACACTTGTTAATCTAAGGAACGCTCTTATCATAAGTTAAACGCATGAAATTCCTCATGCAGTTTTGAAGAATCTCTGTTATAAAGGATGCTAAAGACAAAGGGCCCATAAATTTCCAAGAAGTAATAATTTTTAAAACTATATATATACACATTTAATTGAGGAACATTTGAAGAAACCTTTTTCTTTATGATTCATGACTTTTCATGTAGATAGAGGCTATAATGTATAAACAATCTTTATGAAAAGAGAATGGTGTGATGTTACTCTTACCCAACACCCAAGGGAGAGGGGAGGGATGGGGGTTGAATCCCTTTTTTTGTCCAAGGAAACATGAATTTTAAAGTTTAAAAATTATAAAATTGAATTAAATTGATAAAATTAATTTTTCTTAAAGTTTTTTTTTAATTTAACATTTAAATTTTCTTTTTATTACCAGGCTTTAATAGGTGAACTGCATACAACTAAATACAGATAATTTAGAGTCTTGCATTTTTTTTATGGCAAAGCATTAATAATATATAAACCTCAGCCATATAAACAGGAGTGAAACTGAAAGCCATGGAAGTTAATATCATTATTTTTCAGCATTGTTGTAACTTAATCCATGCACTAAAGCATTTTGGTCAAGACTTCACTTACTACATTTGACATAGTTTTAATAATGCCCTATTATAAACATCTCCTCATGAACATGGGAGTATCTGATTACCATACAAGTTGATAACTTTACCTTTAGACAACTTAATTCACTCAAGTATATTTTGGTAAAGGCTTTACTTCATTTCTCTTTGAAAAACTATCACTGAGGTGATAAAGGCAGGGTCTTATATTAAATGATTTGTTACATGGTTCAATATTTATGACTGAACAAAACCCCAAAAAAGAAATTCTATATTGATTGGTAACCAATAAACATGTCATTTCATATTTAAGTGAACTAAAAAAAACACAGCCTTTAATACTAAATTTTATAATAACTCCCTTAGATTTTGTTAGCATTCTTATGAAGACAGAGGCAAATAAAAAAAAAAGGAAAGCAGCATTTTTATTTTAATATTTGAAATAGAAATAAAAAGAAATGAAACAAATAATTAAATTCAATTTTCTAATACATAGAAAGAGGACAAAAAATGAATACAGTGAATTTATTGCAATAATACCTACATGTTTGATACATAAAGAGAAATATTTTTTCATTCCTTTTTAACTTTTGGATTGTCCCTGAATAGAGATACCATTTACTTTTTTTGGCAAGTGTAAACTATATACTGCCTTACTAAACATGGTTTGTATATTGAAATATGAAATGGTTTCTTTAATGCTTAAATCATAATACTCCTACTGTCCTAGTGCGAATTATGCTCAATCAACTTTGTGAAATATTCCCATCTTCCAATGCTTCTTATTTACATTAAAAAAAACTGACTCAAATAAAATTGGTTTTCTCATTTATTTTACAAGAAATAACATGCTGACAGTGAATCTAATCATTTTTAAACTGGTTAAAGTAATGTTTACAATTGTCTTAAAATGCTCAAATGCAGGTTTATTTCATATACAAATACCTTAATTGTATAGACTAAATGTACTTATAGATTCAATATATAGATTAACCCCTTATAAATAGTAAAAACCACTTCTTAAACCTGATTTTCTTGCCTATTCTCTCATGCATTACCTAATTTGAGTATTTTCAAATTATTGATTACATGAAGAAACAAATTTATAAACAAAACCACAATATATGCTGAATGCCCTGAAATGAAATGGTTACATATGAAAGATGTGTAACCCATCATGTACAACTTTTAAGTCTACAAAATTTAAAGTTAACCATATTATACAATAAGACTACTTTTACAAGTTATGAGAAATTCTCCACCAAAAAATTTATTTATGCAAAAGCTTAATGTTAGGGTACAATTTTAAAATACATTTTACATGAATCACATAAAGAACATATCTAATCAATTTTTTGTGTTTGTTTTCCATTGGAACATCTGTGAACAAACATTCTGTTTTTTTGTATGTTTTTTTTTTTTTTTTGATACATAAAGAGCCAAAAATCATTTGGAATTGTTGTGCTAAACCCTGATACTCAGAATTTTAAGAGTTTCTGACGTATGCCCTACTTAGAAATGTTTACAATGCAACAAAGATGAAACTCATAATTGATTTAATCAGCAATTATAAAGTCATCGGGTTTACACATGCTTTTCTATCACATCATGTACATTTTTTCTACTAGTATGTCTTTGTTCACAAAAAAATTGAAATCAACAGTACTTAGCATTCCATATTAAAAATTATGAACCCTAGCTATTAAAAATCTAAAAGTATATTTGTGTATCAATGCATTATGTTTAACAAAACAATCTCTTTCACTGTGATGAAAATTGTCTTCTTCATATAACATACAGATGAAGAACTTCTTTGGATGATGTCATTTTCACATGTAGAAAAGAAACTAATTCATTAAAATTTTAAGGACATTAAAGGGTGATACAGTGCAGGGAAATAATTTTGTTACAGCATCAATGCTGATTTTGGTGCTTCCTACGCTTGCTGATTTTGATGCTTCCTTTGCTTGCTTATTTGTGATGCTAGTTATCCTTATCCTGATCCTGGTTTGATCCTTATCCTGATGCTGGTTTGAAACTAGGTCAATGCTAGTAATGCTACCGGAAGTAGGATTATCCTGCCGGAAGTGGATAATTCAAAAACAGCATCGCTATTTTAAGCCATTAAAAATAATTTTTGGGGTAATTTTTATTTGTAATTTGTATTAAATGACTTTCCTTTATCTGTTTTCACTTTGGTCAATGCTAGTTCTATCCTTTGCTTGCTGATGCTGATCCAAGTAATGTTGTTTTTTTAAATGCTGATGCTGATGCTAGTTCTATCCTGATCCTACTTATGCTGATCCTGATGCTGGTTTATGTAACAAAATTAGTTACCTGCACTGTATCAAGAGAGAAGTCCAGATATTGATAAAATTCTACAATTATCATCCAATGATGTATATGTTTGGATTTATTTTTTAATTCACAACCAAATGATATGCTGACATTTAATCTTTCAAACTTAAAAAAAAATTCTATACTTTTGAATTAAAAATTACAAAATCTAGAGGAGTCTTCCCAATACCTATCTACATGTATTTATGACTGAAGGTATGTAAATCACCAGAGTTGCTGTACTGCACCATTTGAATAAAAGTCATATCCACATTCTTGACTTTATTTCAAAACATAAATTATTGCAACCAGTCTTTACAGTACCGACCAGACCCAACCTGACACCCAAGCAGTCCCAGAAAGCAGTCCCCGGGACTGCTTTGGGACCGCTGTGGGACTGCTCTGGGACCGCTGTGGGACTGCTCTGGGACCGCTATGGGACTGCTATGAAAAGCAGTCCCAGCAGTCCCAGCTGCCCCTGGGACTGCTTTCTGGGACTGCTTTGTTCACTCATGTGTGAAAAAGGTTCTGAGTGACATGATAGCTCCGCCCCCTTGTGTATTCTGAATTTGCAGGCTCCCTGTTGTTTTGTTTACTTACAGCAGAGAGGAGTTTAAACTGTTTAATAAGCAAGGATTTCTTACATTCTTTTAATAAGTAGAGATTATTATAGTTAATTGATATTTTCAGGAACTGTATATTTACACAAATTATTGTGTATTTAGAATAAATTAAAAAACTAAAGTTGATAAATAAGGAAATCATGAGAAAATTTTATCCCTAAAAATAAACTACAAGATTATGAGAAAAAAAAAATAGCTACATGTGGGCCTTTTTAAATTATTTAATGTTAAATTTTAATTTGTACTCAGAATTTGCATTGGTACTATTTAAAAATAATCATTACAGTTAGATATAAGATTTTTTTTATTAAAAATGCTACACATTTTATAAAGACTACGCTAAAAAAGAGTATTCCGTGTAACCCTCAAATAAAACCCAACAATTTATTAAATGACGTACCATGAAATAAAATTATTCTACTATTCTCCCGTAACATAAACTATGTGAATCATTGGGGGATTAATGAATTACCGGTATCTTTTAATTAGTAAATAAGTTATTAAAAGAGTACATGTATATTTATTTTTTAAAAATGAAAATACCGGAAATTGTGATTTATTTCTTTTTTGTTTTGCTCGTGTTTACCTGGCCGATTAATGTTTATAAGGTGGTATCAACACTCATTGTTTGACTTTCAATCGCCTTTGGGCAGAAAAATCGATACATGTTATTTGGGTATTTGTATCAGTGTTAAGGCCGGTACACACGGTAAGGCTTTTTTTTTTAAACAATATTTTATTCACAGATGTTGTCGTGAATAGGATTGGGCAGCAGGCGCAGCCTATTTTAGCCCTCTCCCTACATTTAGGTCAAGGTACAAAACAAATAGTGATATTAAAAGAATGTACAAAGGAAGAAAAAAAAACACACAAACAAAATTGAACAAAGTAACAGAGAAAAAAACAGAAAAAGTCATATGTAGAAAATTAAACAGAAGAGAAAAATATAATGAACAAAATAACAAAAAAGGAAAATTACAGGGGGAGACAAAATACAAAGTAGTACCGGTTTGGGAGTACTTCTAACAAATAAAAATTATATCTATATATAGATATGACAGTGTTTATATAAAACGTTTTGTTGCTGCTATAAATGTATGTACAGCTTCAAATATTTGTATATTAATGTCAAGTCCATGGTTAGAACTACCATTTAAAAATAAATCACATTCGGGAATATTATCACAGCTTATAATATTATGTGTTGATTGAAAGAGTACATCTCTTGGAATTGTATATTTAGGACAAACAATAAAGTAATGATAGGCATTTTCAATACAATCAGTACAATGTTCACACATTGGAGTTTCAGCTAAATGTTGATTATATAAATCTGCTTTCAGATTACTAGCATTATTCCTTATCTGGCAATGTATAATATTATACTTTCTTTTTCCAAAATTAAAAAGTTCAATACTTTTCCTACAGAAATGAGATTTTAAAAGACTTTTGAATGAACATATTCCTGGAGCATTTTTAATATAATTTGGCAAGGTATTCCATTGTTTGACTGTAGAGGGGAGAAAACTTTCCATATAGGATGTTGTTCTAATATTAGGAATTTTAAATTGAGCATTATTAGTTCTAAGATTATACGAATGACTAGATGGGCGATAAGGTTCAATCAGATCATACAGATACTGTGGAGAATAACCATTAATAATTTTATAAAATAATATTAACTTATGAATTTTTCTCCTTGTTTTTAGGAGATCCCATCCAAGTTCATCATACAATTTTGTACGAGAAGAGTTACACCTTAATCCAGTAATAATTCTACCTGCTTCAACTTGTATATCTTCTAAGAGTTTAGAATCTTTTTCAGAACAATTGTCCCACACTACATCAGAATACTCAAGCACAGGTCGAACAAAAGCAAAATATATTTTAGTGAGTGTTTTACGTGATACCTGGTATTTGAGCATTCTAAGAATGTTTAATCTTTTTGAAGCTTTTTCGTGTATTATCTGTATGTGTGATGTCCACGTAGCATCTCTTTGGAAATGTAAACCTAAATGGGTATGAGAATTATTTTGAATAATAGGTGGGCCATATTCACCAAATTTAACAGGAGAATATACAATATTTTTTCTACTAAAATTTAAATTTACAGTTTTGTTAGGATTAAAATCAACAAGCCATTTCTTTGACCATTTATCAATATGTTCTAAATCATCAGTAAGTGATTGTGTAACATTTTCTTTATCTACAATAGCATATAAAGAAGTGTCATCAGCAAAAAGTCTTATATGGTTCACTAGATCATCACAAATATCATTAATATATAAAAGGAATAGGAATGGTCCTAGGACAGAACCCTGAGGAACTCCAGCATTTACTGTTTCAGAGTTTGATGTAAAACCATCTATTACAACTTTTTGTTGTCTATCAGACAAATAATTCTCAATCCAACCTAGTACATTGCCATTTATACCATAATTTGTTAGCTTTGTTAAAAGGCCTTTATGCCATACTCTATCAAATGCCTTAGAGATATCACAAAAAATAAATCTTACATCTTTACCTTTATCAAGATTCGAAATGATAGTATTATATATTTCTACCAGTTGATTAACAGTTGAATCTCCAGGTTGGAAGCCAGACTGATATTTGTATAATATGTTATTGTCCTTCATAAAATTATATAAATGTTTAAACAGTATTTTTTCCATCAATTTACACAAGACACTTGTTAGAGATATTGGTCTATATTAGATACCTCTTGAGCACTCCCTTTATTTTTAAAAACTGGTGTTATTTGCGATAACTTCCAGATATCTGGTAATTTCTTTTCCCTTAATGACATATTAAATAGAGTTGTTAGGGGCTTTTTGATAGATGTGGATATTTCTTTTAGTATTCTTGGGGATATACCATCAGGACCAGGTGGTTTACTGTTATCAATGATAGTTAACTGGTCATAAATTTCAGCTTCGGTGATAAGCATTTCAGAGAAAATGTTATTTTGTTGTGGTGGACCAGGTCCATGAAGAGGAATATCTGGTTCATTATCAAAGGAGGAAACTTGGGCAAAGTATTTATTTAGTACTGTAGCTTTTTCAACTGGATGGAAGATAAGTTTACCATTTGATTTTAATGGTGGTAAGGGTACATAATTTTTATTAAGTTTTGATATTGATTTAACAATTCTCCACCATTTCCCAGGAGGAATTGATTTATCAATCATTGAAGACATTTTTTTATTATATCTTTCCCGGGATTTTCGAATTTCATCAATGACTGTATTTCTAAGTTCTCTGTATGATTGCCAATGCAGAGGATTGTCTGTATGTTTTGCTTTATAGTGAGTTCTATTTCGTTTTCTCATGAGTTTGCGTATTGTATTATTCATAAAAACTTTATCCCTTGGTCTGATGGTTATTGTTTTCTTAGGAATATGTTTATCAATACACTTATTTAAAGTACAGACAAAATTAGAATATATTTCATTAATATTTCCAGAATTGAATACTGTATTATCCCAGTCAACTTGTAATAATTCCTCATTTATTTGACCATAATTTGCATTTTCATAATTTCTCACTTCTCTTTTGTAAGCATACTGTTTTTAAATAGTGAATTTTACTTCTACACTAGTCACACAATAAGAGCTACAGAATGGTGCTGTTGTATCATGATTTGCAATTAAGCTGGTATTATTGGTCAAAATGAGATCAATACATGCTCCTGATTTGGTTGTAAAGTTAGTAGCATCATTTATAAGATTTGTTAAGTTAAGCCTTTGTAACATTAGTTTAAATTGTTTACTTTGGTCAGACAACATGTTTACATTGAAGTCACATAATAGTATGGTAGGAATATTTAAATCAAGGACTTGTTGCATGTTGTTTAGGAAATGATCCCAATATTCTGCCCTAGAACTGGGCGG